GTAGGAAAAGTAATAACTACTGGAGGAGGTGAGTGAATAAATCACGATATACTAAGATGATTGCAGGTGTCCTCTATGTTTGAAATTATTGGGAAATGAAATATTTTTCTACTATCGATATTATTCCACCAGAGAAACACCAAGCATCACTATAGCAGCTAAGTGTTTTAGTGATCTTTCTCACTGTGAAGAAACAATTCCTGACACACACAGCTTAAATAAGAGGAGGTTCAATTTGTTTCATATTTGTGGAGGATTCAGCATATGGTTGCTTGACCCCAAGAAAGCAACATCATGGAGGAAGTATGTGACAGAGTAAAGTTGCTTACTTCATGGTAGCAAAGAAGAAGAGCATGGAAGAGTGCCAAAGATGTTTGGGTGAGGGGTAAGATAGTGACATAGAGCAGATCCTTTCATGACCCATAGAGACACACAAAGAAATGAACTCCACCAATCCCCTAGGTAGATCTCAAAGCCAATCAAGGTGCCACTTGATCCTTAACTGTCACACTAACACTACCAAAATGCAGTCCAATCAGAGCTGTAAAACCATTCTGCTACTGTGTGAAAGTTATATTAGAATGAGGAGGACCATGAATAATAACAATACTAAACAGCAATGTGTGCATATTTTGTTAGATTTAATTGCCCCTCGGTTAGTTACTATTCTCATTGCTGAGACAAAATACCCAGCACTCAAAGTTTAAAACGTTAAGGCTGATGTCAGCTCACAGTTTGTAGTGGTTTCAGTCCATAGTTGTCTGGTTATAAGGGTGGGAACCTTAGCAGAGGGCCATCACAGAGGAGAAAGAGTAAAAGACATGGCAAGAAGGCAGCAAGCAGCGAGCCTCCTTTCCTTTGTAGCCCTTCCAGACTACCCTGTATTAGGGATGGTGACTCCCACACCCAGGGTGGGGCTTCTGTCTTCAGGAAATCCATTTGGCCACATCCAGATCCATGCTAATTCCAGTCAGTGCACTAATTTAGCACCACACACCCTTAACCCCAGTATCACACACCCTAGATCCAGCCAGGTATGAAAAGCCCCACCTATGAAGTTTTGAGGAGAAATTGAGACATAAACTGTAATGTCCACTATCTTGAAATTATAATATTCACAGACTACTGTGTGGATATTACATTTGAAATGTCACTCACTGAGTATTATCATAACATTATGAAGTGGTCACAGTGTGGATAGTACAAGAGAGACCACTCCATGGATCGTATATCAGTATCTGAGGCTAATGTCTGAGTGTTACTGCGCATGAGTACAGAAGGGCATGTCATGGATATTGTTAGTATTTAAGACCACAGGACATATAATAGCACTATCGGTTGCTGTGTGGATATAATATTAGTATTACAGGCCACACTATGGACATTAAATTACCACTAAAGGACAGAGTGTGGATATTATACTAAGATGCCATTTAGATCCAACATGGTGGGTCACATCTGTAATCCAGACACTTGAGAGACTTAGGGAAGAGGACTTGAGTTCTAGGGCACCTAGACTACATCATGAGATGCTGTCTCAAGAAAACAAATGCTGCTATATAGATTTTATATTAGTCTGAGAAGTCCACATTGTGGATACTACAGGCCACAGAATAAATAATATATACTTACTAAAAGGCCATCATGAGAATACTATAATCGAATTAGGGGCCAGTATGTGGACAATAGACTCATAAAAAGGAGCCACTATGTTTATGTTTTATTCGTACTGGGACTATGAAGTGTGGTATTATTTTGTCAATAAAGTGCTATAATGTGGATATTAGAACAGTACGAGGAGCCACAGAATAAATGTATTCCTTTCGATGCTATTCTGTATATAAGAGTATTAGATACTGAATTGGAGACATCAATAATAGAGGCTAATCCAAGGTTATTAAATTCTTGTTAGAGGAAGCAAAGTGGATTGCTATTAGAGGCCATTGGCCCTTCTTACTGGAAAACACCATTGCCCATCTGAAAACAGTGAGTTGGTGATGTGAGCAAAATTGGCTCCTCTCATGCCTTGAAGCTAGCTTTAAATCCTTTCTACCCAAATATTTGCCCTTCTTTGGTTTGGTCGGGGACAGGGAGACAAATCTGAGCCAATCATGCTAAGTGGCTGGTAACACGTTGGGTGACGAGGAAGGGATTTTAGTGCATCCTAGCAATCACTAGGGAAAGAGACTGCTCATGAATAGCTTGACCTGCTCTTGGGACTCCAGGGACATTTTAGTACCTGCAAGGGACACTTTTATTCTCTCAAAATTATCCTTTATTTGCCCATGTTCTGCATCAGCTGCCCATAAATGCTTTTGTCAGCTAAAAAAAGTTTCAGGATTTTGTAAAAAATGAGGTAGCTGAGTAAATCTGGAGTTATTTCTGTATATTCCCATCTATTCCGCTGATACTCACGTCTTTTTCTTTGCCAGTACCATGCTGTTTTTATCACAGTCACTTTGCAGTATAATTTCAAATTGGGAATTCTTTTGAGCAGTTTATAACAGAGCTTTTTAAACACAACCTCAGCTTTTTAAAAAAAATAATCTAAATTTATTTTTGTGGACAAATGTATCATGAATCTTGAATTCTATATTGGCTCCCAAAGACACCTGAGAATTACCTGATTCCCAAATGGCTTATATAATTTTAGACGTTTCTGAATGAAACCCTGCTGCTCAACTTAGCATGAAAGTAGTTATAAGAAGCAAAAAAATATGATTGGGATCTAGCCTCATGGTGCAAATGCAAAAGCAAATAAAAGCATAGCAAGGCAAACCGAAACAAAGGAGTATTGTAAACCAAATGAAACCCCAGAACAAATGTATGGAATGTTTCTGTAACTTTTGAATCTCATTTACACAAATCTCTTTTCACACAAGAATGAAGTGCAATTGATCTGAATGGCCCCAAATAGGAAAGGTCTTTGCCTCATCCAAATTGGCACTGCTGAATGAGCCAAAGAGAGGTTCAACGAGTGGACACAGAAGATGCTTTGAGTACGCTTCAAGGGGGGGGGGAAACCAGATTCAGCCCATCAACTCCAAATATGAGACTGCTAGACCCCTTGACGTCAAGCACTGGGCAGGTGAGGTATAGTTTGAAACTAAGAGACCTGCACTCATAAGTCTAGCATTCAGTGAAACATTTAGTACCTCTTTGATGCATTCTGAGAACCAACTGGCTTTGTGCTCCTTGCAGTGCAACTTTGAGCTGCCGACCAGCACGAAGTGAGTTCACTCTCAGCACAGGCTACATCAAGGATGCTCTGTAGGAACAATTATTCATGCAGAGCATTCCTGCTTTCCACAGCATGCACACAGCCATCTGAAAGGGAATGGTTATCAAGTCAGAGAGAAAATCTTGCTTGTGAGAGAATCTTATCGAAAAATAAGCAGGGCATGACCATGCTTTGATTCCTTCAGCGACTCAGCATGCAAAGGCCCCCAATTGAGCAATGGGTTTCCAAGCTCTCAGCTGTCATTCTCACTATCTGCCTCTGCAACATGCCTCGCATGGTATAGGGGCACTGGGAGCCCTGGCCGATATCATGCTACATGAAGCAAAAGAGGCTCCAGCCAGCCAGCCAAACGATGAGCAGAAGATCAACCAGGGTTGCCTCCAGCAGACCTTTTAGGAGGCATTGGAGCTGCAGTATGCTCCAACGGACCCCTGCCTGGTAAGAACCATCTGCAAAGGAATGGTTCATGAGTCAGTGAGTCTGCTGTCCCTTCACACTACAATCTGTGGAGAAATGAGCAGGGCCTAGCCATGCAGTCAGACCGAGTTGCCAACGATAGCAAATAGCACAGCAAAATACAGTGGGGAGCCATGCTGTGAGCCTGCATTCCCACTCTTTTGACTCCCACATGCCACTGAGGACCTGGTAATACCACAGGGAGCCCTCACTCTGACCTGCGGCATGCAACTGATCTTCAGTGCATCTTTAGGCCCATGCTGAATCTGCTCTGCCTAGCTTGACTACAGCAGACTGCTCAAGGAGTGGTTACAATGCAGTCCACATGTCATCACTCTGCCAGCTATGTCGCAGTCCTCTGAGGACTGGTGACCCAACAATGCTCTTTCCCTGATGCTGAGCGCCCCCTGGTGGATGGTTTGAGGATCAGTAGACATGGAAAAATGCTTGCCTTTGGAAAATTCATACAGAGGTCTGGAGAGTAGTGGTAAGCATGCAGAAAGTCTGCCCTTCATGCAGCTTATAGGTACAGCTCCGATGAGGAACATTGGGAAAGCCAGTGAGCACACCCTGGGCCCTGCCTGACCCTTGGGAAATAGGAGCAGGGTATAGGAACTGAATAAGAAGGCCCTTACCCCAGACATCAACTAGAAGAAGGTTGAAGCGACCAATAAACATGCAGTGAGCCTGCATTAAATCTTAGCTGTCTCCAGCACGTGAGTACAACCCCTTCCCAGCTGCAAGAGCTGTCACTCCTACCTTTACACATGTAACAATATTTGTGGATTATTTACTAGCACAGACAGCCAACCCTCACTGCAGTCTCATCCAGGGTTATGGCTGGAAAATATTTTATAGAGCAGTGAAAATGTCCTCTAGCTGGCACACAAGCAGCAGGCTTGAGAAGGCCAGTCAGAGACACAACGAGGTCACGCAGACCTGACTTTCATACAGTGCAACATTTAAGACTGTTTAGGCATTCAGTGAACATGCTATCAAACAAACGCTCATACAGAAGTCTGGAGAGGTATGGCACAATATGAAGTAAGCTGGCCCTTGCCACAACCACGAGGGAAGGCCACATTAGGAATTGGTGAGCCATGCACTGAACCTGCCCTCCTCCCGGAATCAAAGAGTTAAATCATTGGGTACTACCTAGAATGGCTGACATGTCAGCCTTGTATTGCATTGCAGGCAGGAAAAACTTCAGAAGGTCCTAGTCACAGGAAGAGACGACCAGGTCCCTGGACTTCAAGCAATGGACAGTTGAGGTACAGTTTGCAAATAAGAGAATTGCACTCACAAGGCTAGCATCCAGTGAAACATTTAGTCCCTCTTCGACGCATTGTGAGAACCACCTGATGTCGTCCTCCTTGCAGTGGGACTTTGAGCTTTAAGCTAGCACGAAGTGAGCTCACTCTGAGCCCTGGCTCCATCATGGAGACTCTGTTGGAAAAATTGCTTAGGCCGAGTGCTCCTGCTCACCACAGCATGCTTACAATCTTCTGAAAAGGAATGGTTATCAAGTCAGAAAAAAAACATCAATTGGGAGAGAACACTTTTGAAAAACAGGCAGGGCATGGCCATGCAATGAGGCACCCAGAAACGCAGTATGGAAAAGTCCCCCAATTGAATCATCTGTTGCCGAGCTCTCACTCTGCATTCAAACTATGTGCCTCCCATTAAAGGGCTAGCATGGTTTAGGAGCTCATGGAGCCTTCACTCATACCATTATGCCTGAAGCACAACAGGCTCTATCCAACCTGAGAAATGATGAGCTGAAAATCATCCAGGGTTGCCTTCTGCAGAACTGTTAGGTTCCACTGATGCTGCCATGGGCTCAAACTAAACCCAGCGTGAGGCCAACCATCTGCAAAGGAATGGTTCATGAGTTCTTCAATCTGCTGTCCATTGAGATTACAACAGGTGGAGAAATTAGCAGGCCCTAGCCATGCAGTCGGCTCACCTTGCCACAGATAGCAAATAGCACAGCAGGATCCAGGGGAGCGTCAGAGAGTGAACCTGCATTCCCCCTGTTTTACAAGCACAGACCACTACGGATCTGTTAATAACACAGTGAGCCTTCTATCCTACTGTGCTGCATTTGCCTGATCTTCAGTCCATCTTTAGGCGAAGGCTGAAGCTGCCCTGCCTAGTTTGACTTAAATAGACTGCTCATGGAGTACTTAGGAATGCAGTGCATGTGTCATCACTCTGCCAGTTATACAGCAGTCCTCTGAGAACTGGTATTCCAACTGTGCTCTTGCCATGGTCCTGGGTGCAAACTGGCAGATGGTTTAAGGATTCTTCACATGGAACACTACTGACCTCCAGGAAAAGTCTGACCGAGGTCTGGCGAGTAGTGATCAGCATGCAGCAATTCTGTGTGCTCTGTGCAGCTTCTGGTCAGGGCTCCCATGAGGACCACTTGGCCACACAGTAAGCATACCCTGGTCCTTACCTGCCCCTAGTGAACAAAGGGCCAGAGCCTAGGAACTGAATAAGAAGGCCCTTCCCATAGACATCAAATGGCAGGGCCAATTAAGCAGCAGTGAGTCTGCATTCCATCTTACCTTTCTCTCACAGAATGATTAGGAACCCTGAACAGCTGGGAAAGTGGTCACTCATATTTTTCTGCATGTCACAAACTTTGGGGACTACTTGGCTGCCCAGTGAGAAAGGCCACACAGCTTTCTCCTGAAGGGATATGGTTATGGATTATTTGAAAATGCAGTGAGACTGTCCTCAGGCCAGAAGAAAAGCAGCGGGCTTGAGAAGGCCAGTCAGAATCACCACGAGCTCACGCAGACTTGACTTTTGTACACGAATATTTCAGACTGCTTCCTCATTCAGGGAACATGCACTCACACAAACAATGATGCAGAGGTCTAGAGAGTCATGGCACAATATTCAGTGAGCCGGAACTTGCCACAGCCATGAGGAGGGCCACTATGGGAATTGGTGAGCCATGCATTGAACCTGCCCTCCTCCGGGAATCAAAGAGTTGAAGCATTGGGTACTACCTAGAATGCCCGAAATGTCAGCCTCTTATCGAATTGCAGGCAGGAACTACTTGAGGAACTCCTAGTAAAAGGCAGAGACTGCCAGGTCCCTGGACTTCAAGCACTGGACAGTTGAGGTACAGTTTTCAACTAAGAGACCTGCACTCACAAGGCTGGCATCCAGTGTAACATTTAGTCCCTCTTCACAGCACTGTGAGAACCACTTCACGTCGTCCTCCTTGCAGTGCAACTTTGAGCATTAAGCTAGGAAGAAGTGAGCTCACTCTCAGACCTGGCTCCATCAGGGAGACTCTGTAAGAACAGTTATTCAGGGCGAGTGCTCCTGCTCACCACAGCATGCATACAGTCATCTGAAAAGGAATGGTTATCGAGTCAGAAAGAAAACATCAGTTGGGAGAGAACACTTTAGAAAAATAGGCAGGGCATGGCCATGCATTGAGGCCCCCATAGACACAGTATGGAAAAGGCCCCCAATTGAACCATCTGTTGCCGAGCTCTCACTCTGCATTCAAACTACGCACCTCCCGCAAAAGGCCTAGCATCGTTTAAGAGCTCAAGGAGCCTTTGCTCAAACCATTGTCTGTGGAACACTACAGTTTCTAGTTAGCCAGCCAGTGGAATGATGAGCCCCAGATCATCCAGGGTTGCCTCCTGCACAACTTTTAGGTTCCGATGATGCTGCAATGGGCTCCAACTAACCCCAGCCTAAGGCCAACCACCTGCAAAGGAATGGGTCATGAGTTCGTAAGAATGCCATCCATTCAGAATACAACTGGGGGGGGTAAATGAGCAGGGCCTGGCCATGCAGCCTGCCCACCTTGTCAGAGATAGAAAATCGCACAGCAAGATCCATCAGAGAGTCTTGGAGTGAGCCTGCATTTCCCCTCATTTGAATCGCACAGAACACTGAAGAGCTGTTTACAGCATAGTTAGCCCTCATTCCTACTGCGTGCCATTTGCGCGATCTTCAGTACAACTTTAGGTGCAGGCTAAACCTGCCCTGCCTAGTTTGAATTAAGTAGAGTGATCAAGGCATCATTAGCAATGCAGCCCAAATGTAATCACTCTGCCAGCTATGCAGCAAGCAGTGTGCTCAGGACTGGGAGGCCAAGCGTGCCGGTGCCCTGGGCCTAGGCATGACCTGGGGGATGATTTACGGGCCATTGGCATGGAAAAATGCTAGCCTCAAGGACAAGTCACACAGAGATGAGGTTCATTTTGCCACTATGAAACCTGCACTCACACGGCTGAGATCCAGTGTAACATTCAATACCTCTTTGATTCATGGTGAGAACCACCTGTTTTCGTTCTCCCTGCAGAGCAACGTTCAGCTGATGGCTAGCATGATGTGAGGTCACTCTCAGGCTAGGCTCCATTAGGGAGAATCTATATGAACAATGCTCAGGCCGAGTGCTCCTGCTCTCCATGGCCTGCATACAGCCCTCTGAAAAGAAATGGTTATAGAATCAGAGAGAAAACATCGCTCGGGACAGAATCCAGTTAAAAAGTGAGGAGGGCATTGCCATTCATTGAGATCCCCAGGAACTCAGTAGGCAAAAGTCCCCCAGGTGACACATGGGTTTCTAATATCTCAGTCTTGCTTCACCCTCCCTGCCTCCCTCAAAAGCCCAAGCATGGCTCAGGAGTTCATTGAGCCCTCACTCATATTTTTTATGCGTGAAGCACTACAGTCTCTAGCCAGCCAGCCGAGAGATGAGCTGCAGGTCATCCAGGGTTGCCTGCTGACAACCTTTTTGGGTTCCCTGATGCTGCCATGGGCTCAAACGAACCCCAGCCTGAGGCCCACCACCTGCAGTAGAATGATTCATGAGATCGTCAGGATGCCGTAAATTCAGATTACGAATGGTGCAGAAATGAGCAGGGCCTAGCAATGCAGTCCAACCACCTTGCCACAGATAGAAAACAGCACACCAAGATCCAGGAGAGTCTTGGAGTGAGCATCAATTTCCACTCTTTTGATTCACATAGAACACTGAAGACCTGTGAAGAGCACAGTGAGCCTTCACTCCTACTGTGTGGCATTCGCTGGACCTTCAGTCCATCTTTAGGCCCAGGCTGAACCTTCCCTACCTAGTTTGACTTAAGAAGACTGCTCCAGGTGTGCTTAGCATTGCCTTCCAAATGTCATCACTTTGCCAGTTATGCAGCAAGCAGTCTTCTGAGGACTTGTATGCCAACTGTGCTCTTGCCCTGCTCCTACACGACACATTGTGGATGTTTTAAGGATCGATGGCATGGAAAAAAATGGCCTCAAGGGCCAGTCACACAGAGGTCGATCGAGTTGTATTCAGTACGCCATAAGTCTTTACCCTCCATGCAGCTGCTGGTCACGGATACCATAAGGAACACTGGGATACACAGTAAATGCACTCTGGTCCCTACCTGCCCATGGTGAACACAGGGCCAGGGCCTATGACATAAATAAGAAGGTCGTTCACCTAGACATCAAATGGCAGAAGTTTGGAGTGACCAATCAAGCCGCTGTGAGCCTGCATTCCATCTTAGCTGCCTCACATGGAATGAATAGAACCCCTTAACAGCTGCGAGAGTCGTGACTCATAACTTTCTACATGTCATAAACTTTGGGCACTACTTAGCTGGCCAGTGAGACAGACGTCACAGCTGTCTGATCCACAGATATGATGATGGTCTATGGCCCACAACATTGAGACGGTCCTAAAGCCACCAGAAAAGGATCCTGCTTGAGAAGGCCAGTAAGACACAGACCAAGTTTACATAGGTGTGACTTTCATACATAAAACTTTCAGACTGGTTCTGCATTGAGGGCACACACACTCCCACAAACAATACTGCAGAGGTCTGGAGAGTCATGGAATAATATACAGTAAGTCACAACTGGCCACAGCCATGAGCCAGGGCCACGAAGTTAATTGGAGAGCCGTTCATTGAAGCTCCCCTCCTCCCCGAATCAAAGATTTGAAGCATTGGGTTCTACCTAGAATGACCGACATGTCCCACTCCTAAGGAACTGCAGGACTGAGCAACTTGAGGAGCTCCTCGTCACAGTGTGAGAATGTCAGGCCCCTGGATTTCGAGAACAGGACAGTTGAGGTACATTTTCCCACTACGAAACATGCACTCACACGACTGACATCCAGTGTAACATTCAGTTCCTCTTGGACGCATTGTGCGAACCACCTGGCGACGTTCCCCCTGCAGAGCTACATTGGGCTGCCAGCTAGCATGATGTGAGGTCACTGTCAGGCTAGGGTCCATCAGGGAGTATCTGTACGAAAAATGCCCAGGCCGGGCACTCCTGCTCTCCACAGCCTGCATACAGCCCTCTGAAAAGGAATGTTTATAGAATCAGAGAGAAACCATCCCTCGGGACAGAACCTGGTTGAAAAGTGAGGAGGGCATTGCCATTCATTGAGAACCCCAGGGACTCAGTAAGCAAAAGGCCCCCAGGAGACACATGGGTTTCTGATATCTCAGTCTTCCTTCACCCTTCCTGCCTCCATCAAAAGCCCTAGCATTGTTCAGGAGCTCATGGAGCCCTCGCTCATACCATTGCTCATTAAGCACTAAAGTCTCTCACCAGACAGCCGAGAGATGAGCCGCAGGACATACATGGTTGCCTGCTGCCAACGTTTTTCGTTTGACTGATGCTGCCATGGGCTCAAACGACCTCCAGCTTGAGGCCAACAACTTGAAATGGAGTGGTTCATGAGTTTATCAGCTTGCCGTCCATTTAGGTTACAACTGGGGGGGAAATGAGCAGGGCCAAGCCATGCAGTCCACCCACCTTGTCACAGATAGCATATAGCACACCAAGATCCAGGAGAGAGTCTTGCAGTAAGCCTGAATTCCCCCTCTTTTGACTCGCATAGAACACTGAGAATCTGTGAAGAGCACTGTGAGCCCTCACTCCTACTATACAGCATTCGTCTGACCTTCAGTTCTTCTTTAGGCTCAGGCTGAACCTGGCCTGCCTAGTTTCACGTAAGTGAACTGCTCAAGGTGTGGTTAGCAATGTTGTTCAAATGTCCTCACTCTGTCAGCTATGCAGTAAGCAATCTTCTGAGGACTTGTAGGCCAAGTGTGCTCTTGCCCTGGTTCAAGGCGCCACCTTGTGGATATTTTAAGAATCGTTGACATGGAAAAATGCTGGCCTAAAGGATAAGTTCCACAGAGGTCTGTGGAGAAGTGGTCAACACGAAAATCTTCTGAGGATTTGTAGGCCAAGTGTGCTCTTGCCCTGGTTCAAGGCGCCACCGTGTGGATATTTTAAGGATCGTTGACATGGAAAAACGCTGGCCTAAAGGATAAGTTGCACAGAGGTCTGTGGAGAAGTGGTCAACACGCAGCAAGTCTATGTCCTTCATGCAGCTGCTGCTCACGGCTATCATGAGGACCACTGGAATGCACTGTCAACGCACGCTGATCCCTACCTGGCCATGGTGAATACAGGCCAACGGCCTAGGAAGTAAATAAGAAGGCCCTTGGCCTAGCCTTCAAAGGATAGAAGGTTGGAGTGGCCAATCAAGCCGCAGTGAGCCTGCATTCTATCTTAACTGTCTCACACAGAATGACGAGAACCCCTTAACAGCTGTGAGAGTCATGACTCATACCTTTCCTCAAATCATAAACTTTCGGCACTACTTAGCTGGCCAGTGAGACAGCCCTCATGGCTGTCTGCTCCGTGGATATGGTGAGAGTCTATTGCTCACAGCAGCGAGACTGTCCCCAAGCCAGAGGAAAAGCATCTTGCTTGAGAAAGCCAGTCAGACACAGCCCAAGTTCACACAGGTGTGACATTCATACATAAAACTTTCAGACTGATTCTGCATTTAGGGCACACCCACTCCCAGAAACAATACTGCAGAGGTCTGCAGAGTCATGGAATAATACAGACTGAACCAGAACTGCCAAAGCCATGAGCCAGGGCCACGAAGTTAATTGGAGAGCCTTGCATTGAAGCTCCCCTTCTCCCTGAATCAATGATATGAAGCATTGGGTTCTACCTAGAATGGCCGACATGTCCCACTCCTAACGAACTGCAGGCAGGAGCAACTTGAGGAGCTCATCATCGCAGTGTGAAACTGCCAGGCCCCGGGATTTGGAGCACAGGACAGTTGAGGTTCATTTTGCTACTAGGAAACCTGCACTCACACGGTTGGCATCCAGTGTAACATTCAGTTCCTCTTGGACGCATTGTGAGAACCACCTGGCATCTTTCTCCTTGTAGAGCCAAGTTGAGCTGCCGGCTAGAATGCTGTGAGGTCACTGTCAGGCTAAGCTTAATCAGGGAGAATCTGTATGAACAATGGGCAGGCCGGGCACTCCTGCTCTCCACAGCCTGCATACAGCCCTCTGAAAAGGAATGGTTATAGAATCAGAGAGAAAACATCGCTCGCGACAGAACCCGGTTGAAAAGTGAGCAGGGCATTGCCATTCATTGAGACCTCCAGGGACTCAGTAGGCAAATGGCCCCCAGGTGACCAATGCGTTTCTGATATCTCAGTCTTTCTTCACCCTCCCTGCCTCCCTCAAAAGCCCTAGCATGGTTCAGGAGCTCAAGGAGCCCTCGCTCATACCATTGTGCGTGAAACACTACATTCTCTAGCCAGCCAGCCGAGAGATGAGCCGCAGGACATCCATGGTTGCCTCCTGCCGATCTTTTGGGTGTCACTGATGTTTCCATGGGCTCAAACGAATCCCAGCTTGAGGCCAACCACCTGCAATGGGATGGTTCATGAGTTCATCAGAGTTCATGAAGTCATCAGCCTGCCGTCCCTTCAGATTACAACTGGTGGAGAAATGAACAGGGCCTAGCCATGCAGTCCACCCACCTGGCCACAGATAGCAAATAGCACACCAAGATCCAAGAGAGTGTCTTGGAGTGAGCCTGAATTCCCCCTCTTTTGACTCACATAGAACACTGAGAACCTGTGAAGAGCACTGCGAGCCCTCACTCCTACTGTGCAGCATTCGCCTGACCTTCAGTCCATCTTTAGGCCCAGGCTGAACCTGCCCTGCCTAGTTTCAGGTAACTGGAATGCTCAAGGTGTGGTTAGCAATGCCATCCAAATGTCCTCACTCTGCCAGCTATATAGTAAGCAGTCTTCTGAGGACTTGTAGGCCAAGTGTGCTCTTGCCCTGGTCCTAGGCGCTACCTTGTGGATGTTTTAAGGATCGTTGGCATGGAAAAATGCTGGCCTCAAGGACAAGTCACACAGAGGTCTGTGGTGGAGTGTTCAGCACGCCGCAAGTCTTAACCCTTCATGCAGCTGCTGCTAACGGCTACCACGAGGACCACTTGGATACACAGTTAACGCACCCTGGTCCGTTCCTGGCCCTGGTGAACACAGGGCTAGAGCCTAGCAAGTAAATAAGAAGGCCCTTGGCCTACACATCAAAAGGTAGAAGGTTTGAGTGATCAATCAAGCTGCAGTAAGCCTGCATTCCAACTTAGCTGCCTCACACAGAATAACTAGAACCCCTTCACAGCTGCGAGAGTTGTGACTAATATCTTTCCGCATGTCATAAACATTGGGCACTACTTAGCTGGCCAGTGAAACAGCCCTCATGGCTGTCAGCTCCGTGGATATGGTGAGGGTCTATTACCCACAGTAGGGAGACTGTCCCCAAGCCAGAGGAAAAGCATCCTGCTTGAGAAGGCCAGTCAGACACAGCCCAAGTTAAATCAGGTGTGACTTTCATACATAAAACTTTCAGACTGGTTTTGCATTGAGAGCACACTCACTCCCAGAAACAATACTGCAGAGGTCTGGAGAGTCATGGAATAATACGGAGTGAGCCGGAACTAGCCACAGCCATGAGCCAGGACCACGAAGGTAATTGGAGAGCCTTGCATTGAACGTCCCCTCCTCCCCAAATCAGATTTGAAGCATTGGGTTCTACTTAGAATGGTCAACATGTCCCACTCCTAAGGTACTGCAGGCCTGAGCAACTTGAGGAGCTCCTGGTCACAGTGTGAGTCTGCCAGGCTCCTGAATTTCGAGCACAGGACAGTTGAGGTACATTTTACTACTATGAATCCTGCACTCACACGGCTGGCATCCAGTGTAACATTCAGTTCAGCTTGGATGCATTGTGTGAACTACCTGGCATCATTCTCCTTGCAGAGCGAGGTTGAGCTGTCGTCTAGCACGATGTGAGGTCACTGTCAGGCGAGGCTCCATCAGGGAGAATCTGTATGAACAATGGTGAGGATTGGCACTGATGCTCTCCACAACCTGCATACAGCCCTCTGAAAAGGAATGATTATAGAATCTTAGAGAAACCATGATACGGGACACAACCCGGTTGAAAAGTGAGCAGGGCATTGCCATTCATTGAGACCTCCAGGGACTCAGTAGCAAAACGCCCCCAGGTGACACATGGGATTCTGATATCTCAGTCTTCCTTCACCCTCTCTGCCTCCCTCAAAAGCCCTAGCATGGCTAAGGAGCTCATGGAGCCCTCGTTCACACCATTGTGCATGAAGCACTACAGTCTCTAGCCAGCCAGCCGAGAGATGAGCACGAAAGACATCCACGGTTGTCCCCTGCAGACCTTTTTGGTTTCACTGATGCTGCCATGGGCTCAAACGAACACCAGTTTGAGGCCACCCACCTGAAAAGAAATGGTTCATTACTTCATAAGCCTGCCATCCCTTCAGAATACAACTGGTGGGGAAATGAGCAGGGCCTAGCCATGCAATCCACCCACCTTGCCACAGATAGCAAATAGTACACCAAGATCCAGGAGAGAGTCTTGCAGTGAGCCTGAATTCTCCCTCTTTTGATTCACATAGAACACTGAGAACCTGTGAAGAGCACTGTGAGCCCTCACTCCTACTGTGTGGCATTCACCTGAACTTCAGTCCATCTTTAGGCCCAGGCTGAACCTGGCCAGTCTAGATGCACATAAGTGGACTGCGCAAGGGGTGGTTAGCAATGCCGTCCAAATGTCCTCACTTTGCCAGCTATGCAGTAAGCAGTCTTCTGTTGACGTGTAGGCCAAGTGGGTTCTTGCCCTGGTACTAGGCGCCACCTTGTGGATGTTTTAAGGATCTTTGGAGAGGAAAAACGCTGGCCTCAAGGACAAGTCACACAGAGGTCTGTGGAGCAGTGGTCAGCACGCAGCAAGTCCATACCATCCATGCAGCTGCTGCTCACGGCTACCATGAGAACCACTGGGATACACAGTCAATGCACCTTGGTCTCTACCTGGCCCTGGTGAACACAAGGCCCGGGCCTTGGAAGTAAATAAGAAGGCCCTTGGCCTAGCCTTCAAATGGAAGAAGGTTGGAGTGGCCAATCAAGCCACAGTGAGCCTGCATTCCATCTTAGCTGCCTCGCACAGAATGACTAGAACCCCTTAATAGCTGCGAGAGTCGTGACAATCGTGACTCATTCCTCTCTGCATGTCATAAAACTTGGGCACTAATTAGCTGGCTAGTGAGACAGCCCTCACGGCTGTCAGATCCGTGCATATGGTGAGGGTCTATTTCCCACAGCACAGACACTGTCCCCAAGCCCGAGGAAAAGCATCCTGTTTGACAAGGCCAGTCAGACACAGCCCAAGTTCACACAGGTGTGATATTCATACACAAAACTTTCAGACTGGTTCTGCATTCAGGGCACACCCACTCCCAGAAACAACACTGCAGAGGTCTGAAGAGTCATGGAGTAATACGCACTGAGCCGGAACTTGCCATAGCCATGAGCCAGGGCCAGGAAATTAATTGGAGAGCCTTGCATTGAAGCTCCCCTCCTCCCCGAATCAAAGATTTGAAGGATTGTGCTCTACCTAGAATGGCCGACATGTCCCGCTCCTAACGAACTCCAGGCAGGAGCAACTTGAGGAGCTCCTCGTTACAGTGTGAGATGGCTAGGCCCCTGGATGTTGAGCACAGGACAGTTGAGGTTCATTTTGCCACTAGAAAATCTGCACTCACACGGCTGGCATCCAGTGTAACATTCAGTTCCTCTTGCAAGCATTGTGAAAAGCGCCTGGGGTCATTCTCCTTGCAGAGCCACGTTGAGCTGCTGGCTAGCATGATGTGAGGTCACTGTCAGGCTAGGCTCCATCAGTGAGAATATGTACGAACAATGGGCAGGCCGGGCACTCTTGCTCTCCACAGCCTGCATACAGCCTTCTGAAAAGGAATGGTTATAGAATCAGAGAGAAAACATCGCTGGGGATGGAACAAGGTTGAAAAGTGAGCAGGGCATTTCCGTTCATTGAGACACTTAGGGACTCAGTAGGCAAAAGGCCCCCAGGTGACCAACGGATTTCTGATATCTCAGTCTTCCTTCACGCTCCCTGCCTCCCTCAAAAGCCCCAGCATGGCTCAGGAGCTCAAGTAGCCCACGCTCACACCATTGAGCATGAAGCACTAGAGTCTCTAGCCAGCCAGCTGAGAGATGAGCCGCAGGACATCCATGGTTGCCTCCTGCCGACCTTTTGGGTGTCACTGATGCTGCCATGGGCTCAAACGAACCCAAGCTTGAGCCCAACCACCTGCAATGGGATGGTTCATGAGTTCATCAGCCGGCCATCCCTTCAGATTACAACCGGTGGGGAAAAGAGCAGGGCCTAGCCATGAAATCCACCCACCTGACCACAGATAGCAAATAGCACACCAAGATCCAGGAGAGAGTCTTGGAGTGAGCCTGAATTCCCCCTGTTTTGACTCACATGGAACACTGAGAACCTGTGAAGAGCACTGTGACCCCTCACTCCTACTGTGCGGCATTCGCCTGACCTGCAGTCCATCTTTAGCCCAGGCTGAACCTGCCCTGCCTCGTTTCACGTAAGTGCACTGCTCCAGGTGTGGTCACCAATGCTGTCCAAATGTCATCACTCTGTCAGCTAGGCAGCAAGCACTCTTCTGAGACGTGCTAGGCCAACTGTGCTCTTGCTGTGGTCCTAGGCGCCACTTTGTGGATGTTTTAAGGATCGTTGGCTTGGAAAAATGCTTGCCTCAAGGACAAGTCACACAGAGGTCTGTCGAGTAGTGGTCCGCACACAGCAAGTCTATACTCTCCATGCAGGTGCTGCTCACGGCTACCATGAGGAACATTGGGATACACATTCAACGCACTCTGGTCCCTACCTGGCCCTGGTGAACACTGGGCCAGAGCCTCGGATGTAAATAAGAAGGCCCTTGGCCTAGCCTTCAAAATGGAAGAAGGTTGGAGTGGCCAATCAAGCCGCAGAGAGCCGGCATTCCATCTTAGCTGCCTCGCACAGAATGACTAGAACCCCTTAACAGCTGTGAGAGTTGTGATTCATACCTTTCCACATGTCATAAATTTTGGGCACTACTTAGTTGGCCAGTGAGACAGCCCTCATGGCTGTTGGCTCCGTGGACATAGTGAGGGTCTATTGCCCACAGCAGGGAGATGGTCCCCAAGCCAGAGGAAAAGCATCCTGCTTGAGAAGGCCAGTCAGACACAGCTCAAGTTCACAGAGGTGTGACTTTCATACATAAAACTTTCATACTGGCTTTGCATTCAGGGCACACTCTCTCCCAGAAACAGTACTGTAGCAGTCTGGAGAGTCGTGGAATAATACGCACTGAGCCAGAACTTGCCACAGCCGTGACTCCGGACCACAAAGTTAATTGGAGAGCCTTGCATTGAACCTCCGCTCCTCCCCAAATCAATGATTTGAAGCATTGGGTTCTACCTAGAATGGCCGACATGTCCCACTCCTAATGAACTGCAGGCAGGAGCAACTTGAGGAGCTCCTCGTCACAGTGTGAGACTGCTGGGCTCCTGGATTTTGACCACAGGACAGTAGAGGTTCATTTTGCCACTAGGAAACTTGCACTCACACGGCTGGCATCGAGTGTTACATTCGGGTCCTCTTGGACGCATTGTGAGAACCACCTGGTGTCGTTCTCCTTGCACAGCCAAGTGGCGCTCCCGGCTAGAATGATGTGAGGTCACTGTCAGGCTAGGCTCCATCAGGGAGAATCTGTACGAACAATTGGCAGGCCGGGAACTCCTGTCTCCACAGCCTCCATACAGGCCTCTGAAAGAATTGGTTATAGAATCAGAGAGAAAACATCACTCGGGACAGAACCCGGTTGAAAAGTGAGCAGGGCATTTCCGTTCATTGAGACCCCCAGGGACTCACTAGGCGAAAGGCCCCCAGGGGACCCATGATTTTCTGATATCTCAGTCTTCCTTCACCCTCTCTGCTTCCCTCAAAAGCCATAGCATGGTTCAGGAGCTCAAGTAGCCCTCGCTCTTACCATTGTGGGGGAAGCACTACAGCCTCTAGGCAGCCAGGTGGGAGATGAGCCACAGGACATCAATGGATGCCTCCTGCCAAACTTTTGGGTGTCACTGATGCTGTCATGGTCTCAGACGAACCCTAGTTTAGGCCAACCACCTGCAATGGGATGGTTCATGAGGTCATCAGTCTGCCGTCCCTTCAGATTACAAGCCAGCCAGGAGAGATGAGCCACAGGACATCCATGGATGCCTCCTGCCAAACTTTTGGGTGTCACTGATGCTGCCATGGTCTCAGACGAACCCTAGCTTAGGCCAACCACCTGCAATGGGATGGTTCATGAGGTCATCAGTCTGCCGTCCCTTCAGATTACAACTGGAGGGGAAATGAGCAGGGCCTAGCCATGCAGTCCACCCACCTGGCCACAGATAGCAAATAGCACACCAAGATCCTGGAGAGAGTCTTGCAGTGAGCCTGAATTCCCCCTCTTTTGACTCGTATAGAACACTGAGAACCTGTGAAGAGCACTGTGATCCCTCACTCCTACTGTGCGGCATTCGCCTTACCTTAAGTCCATCTGTAGGCCCAGGCTGAACCTGCCCTGCCTCGTTTCACGTAAGTGGACCACTCAAGGTGTGGCTAGCAATGCCATCCAAATGTCCTCACTCTGCCAGCTATGCAGTAAGCAGTCTTCTGAGGACTTGTAGGCTAAGTGTGCTCTTCCCTGGTCCTAGGCACCACTCGTGGATGTTTTAAGGATCATTGGCATGGAAAAATGCTGGCCTCAAGGACAAGTCACACAGAGGTCTCTGACGTAGTGGTCAGCACGCAGCAATTCTATAACCTCCATGCAGCTGCTGCTCACGGCTATCATGAGGACCACTGGGATACACACTCAATGCACCCTGGTCCCTACCTAGCCCTGTTGAACACAGCGCCAGGGCCTAGGAAGTAAATAAGAAAGCCCTTCGCCTAGGCATCAAATGGTAGAAGATTGGAGTGGCTGAACAAGCCACAGTGAGCCGGCATTCCATCGTAGGGGCCTCACACAGAATGACTAGAACGCCTTAACAGCTGCGAGAGTCGTGACTCATACCTTTCTGCATGTCATAAACTTTGGGCACTAGTTAGCTGGCCAGTGAGACAGCCCTCACGAGTGTCTGCTCCGTGGATATGGTGAGGGTCTATTGTCCACAGCAGGGAGACTGTCCCCAAGCCATAGGAAAAGCATCTTGCTTGAGAAGGCCAGTGAGACACAGCCCAAGTTCACACAGGTGTGACTTTCATACCTAAAACTTTCAGACTGGTTCTGCATTCAGGGCACACCCACTCCCAGAAACAGTATTGCAGAGGTCTGGAGAGTCATGGAATAATACGAACTGAGCCAGAAATGGCCACAGCCATGAGCCAGGGCCACAAAGTTAACTGGAGAGGCTTGCATTGAACCTCTCCTCCCCCCCCCAGAATCAAAGATTTGAAGCATTGGGTTCTACCTAGAATGGCCAACATGTCCCACTCCTAACGAACTGCAGGACTGAGCAAGTTGAGGAGCTCCTCGTCACAGTGTGAAAGTGCCAGGCCCATGGATTTAGAGCACAGGACAGTTGAGGTACATTTTGCCACTACGAAACCTGCACTCGCACGGCTGGCATCCAGTGTAACATTCAGTTCCTCTTGGACACATTGTGCGAACCACCTGGCGTCATTCTCCTTGCAGAGCGACTTTGAATTGCCGGCTAGCATGATGTGAGGTCACTGTCAGGCTAGGCTCCATCAGGGAGAATCTGAACGAACAATGGTCTGGCCGGGCTCTCCTGCTCTCCACAGCCTGCATATAGCCCTCTGAAAAGGAATGGTAATAGAATCAGACAGAAACCTTCGCTCAAGACAGAACACGGCTGAACAATGTGGAGGGCATTGCCATTCACTGAGATACCCTGGGATTCAGTAGCCAAAGCTCCCCAGGTGACACATGGGTTTCTGATGTCCCAGTCTTTCTTTACCCTCCCTGCCTCCGTTAAAAGCGCTAGCATGGTTGAGGAGCTCATGGAGCCCTCACTCATACCATTGTGCATGAGATAGTACAGGCTGTAGTCAGTCAGCTGAGAGAGGAGCCACAGGACATCCATGGTTGCCTCCTGCCGACCTATTTGGTTTCACTGATGCTGCCATGGGCTCAAACGAACTCCAGCTTGAGGCCAACGTCCTGAAATGGATTGGTTCATGAGTTCATCAGCCTGCTGTCCCTTCATGTTATAACTGGTTGGGAAATGAGCAGGGCCTAGCCATGCAGTCCACGCCCCTTGCCACGGAAAGCAAATAGTACACCAAGATCCAGGAGAGAGTCTTGCAGTGAGCCTGAATTCCCCCTCTTTTGACTCGCATAGAACATGAAGGACCTGTTAAGAGCACTGTGAGCCCTCATTCCTACTGTGCGGCATTCACCTCACCTTCAGTCCATCTTTAGGCGCAGGCTGAACTGGCCGTGCCTAGTTTCACGTAAGTGGACTGCTCCAGGTGTGGTTAGCAATGCCGTCCAAATGTCCTCACTCTGCCAGCTATGCAGTAAGCAGTCTTCTGAGGACTTGTAGGCCAACTGTGCTCTAGCCCTGGTCGTAGGCGCCACCTTGTGGATGTCTTAAGGATCGTTGGCATGGAAAAATGCCGGCCTCAAGGACAAGTCACACAGAAGTCTGTGAAGTAGCGGTCAGCACGCAGCAAGTCTATACCTTCCACGCAGCTGCTGCTCACGTCTACCATGAGGACCACTGGGATACACAATCAATGCACCCTGGGTTCTTCCTGGCCCTGGTGAGCACAGGTCCAGGGCCTCGGAAGTAAATAAGAAGGCACTTGGCCTAGACATTAAATGGTAGAACGTTGGAGTGGCCAATCAAGCTGCAGTGAGCTGCATTCCATCTTAGCTGTCTCGCACAGAATGACAAGAACCCCTTAACAGCTGCAAGAGTCGTGACTCATACCTTTCCGCATGTCATAAACTTTGGGCACTACTTAGCCGTCCAGTGAGACAGCCCTCACGGCTGTCACCTCCGTGGATATGGTGAGGGTCTATTGCCCACAGCAGGGAGACTGTCTTCAAGACAGAGGAAAAGCATCCTGCTTGAGAAGGCCTGTCAGACACAGCCCAAGTTCACACAGGTGTGACTTTCATACATAAAACTTTCAGACTGGTTCTGCATTCACGGCACACCCAGTCACAGAAAGAATACTGCCGAGGTCTGGAGAGTCATGTAATAATACGCACTGAGCCGGAACTTGGCACAGCCATGAGCTAGGACCACGAAGTTAATTGGAGAGCCTTGCATTGAACCTCCCCTCCACCGCAAATCAATGATTTGAAGCATTAGGTTCTACCTCGAATTGTCCACATATCCCACTCCTAACGAACTGCAGGCAGGAGCAACTTGAGGAGCTCCTCATCACTGTGTGAAATGGCCAGGCCCCTGGATTTTCAGCGCAGAACAGTTGAGGTTCATTTTCCCACTATGAAACCTGCACTCACGAGGCTGGCATCCAATGTAATATTCAGTTCCTCTTGGACGCATTGTGAGAACCACCTGGCGTCGTTCTCCTTGCAGAGCCAAGTAGAGCTGCTGGCTAGCATGATGCGAGGTCACTGTCAGGCTAGGCTCCATCAGGGAGAATCTGTATGAACAAGGGGCAGGCCGGCCACTCCTGCTCTCCACAGCCTGCATACAGCCCTCTGCAAAGGAATGGTTAGAATCAGAGAGAAAACATCGCTCAGGACAGAACCCGGGTGAAAAGTAAGCAGGGCATTGCAATTCATTGACACCCACAGGGACTCAGTAGGCAAAGGTCCCCCAGGTGATCCATGGCTTTCTGAAATCTCAGTCTTCCTTCTATCTCCATGCCTCCCTCAAAAGCCCTAGCATGGTTCAGGAGCTCAAGGAGCCCTCGCTCATACCATTGTGCATGAAGCACTATAGTCTCTAGCCAGCCAGCTGAGAAATGAGCCGCAAGACATCCATTGTTGCCTCCTGCCAAACTTCTGGGTGTCACTGATGCTGCCATCGGCTCAAACAAACCCCAGCTTGAGGCCAACGACCTGCAATGGAATGATTCATGAGTTCATCAGCCTGCCATCCCTTCAAATTACAACTGGTGGGGACATGAGCAGGGCCTAACCATGCTGTCCATCCAACTTGCCAAAGATAGCGAATAGCACATCAAGATCCAGGAGAGAGTCTTGTAGTGAGCCTGAATTCCCCGTCTTTTGACTCGCATAGAGCACTGAGAACCTGTGAGGAGCACTGTGACCCCTCACTCCTACTGTGCGGCATTTGCCTGAACTTCAGTCCATCTTGAGGCCCAGGCTAACCTGCCCTGCATCGTTTCACGTAATTGGACTGCTCAAGGTGTGGTCAGCAATGCCATCCAAATGTCATCACTCTGCCAGCTAGGCAGCAAGCACTCTTCTGAGGACTTGTAGGCCAAATGTGCTCTTACCCTGGTACTAGGCGCCACCTTGTGGATGTTCTCAGGATCGTTGGCATGGAAAAATGCTGGCATCAAGGAGAAGTCACACAGAGGTCTGTGGAGTAGTGGTCAGCATGCAGCAAGTCTATACCCACCATGTAGCTGCTGCTCACGGCTACCATGAGGACCACTGGGATACACAGTCAACGCACACTTGTCCCTACCTGGCCCCGGTGCACACAGTGCCAGGGCCTCGAAAGTAAATAATAAGGTTCCTGGCCTAGCTTTCAAATGGAAGAAAGTTGGAGTGGCCAGTCAAGCCGCAGTGAGCCTGTATTCCATATTAGCTGAATCGCACAGAATGACTAGAACCCCTTAACAGCTGCGAGCGTCGTAACTCATACCTCTCTGCATGTCATAAACATTGGGCACTGCTTAGCTGGCCATTGAGACAGCCCTCACGGCTGTCAGCTCCGTGGATATGCTGACCGCCTATTGCCCACTGCAGGGAGACAGTCCCCAAGCCAGAGGAAAAGCATCCTGCTTGAGAAGGCCAGTCAGACTCAGCCAAAGTCCACACAGCTGTGACTTTCATACATAAAACTTTCCAGTAGGTTCTGCATTCAGGGTACACTCACTCCCAGAAACAATACTGCAGAGGTCTGGAGAGTCATGAAATAATACGCACTGAGCCGGATCTTGCCACAGCCATGAGCCAGGGCCACGACGTTAATTGGAGAGCCTTGCACTGAACCTCCCCTCCTCCCAGAATCAATAATTTGAAGCATTGGGTTCTATCTAGAATGGCCGACTTGTCCCAGTTCTAAGGAGTTCTACGCATGAGGAACTTTAGGAGCTCGTCGTCACAGCGTGAGACTGCTAGGCCCCTGGATTTCGAGCACAGGACTGTTGAGGTTCATTTTGCCACTATGAAACCTGCACTCACGCGGCTGGCATCCAGTGTAACATTCAGTTCCTCTTGGACGCAATGTGAGAATCACCTGTCATCGTTCTCCTTGCAGAGCCAAGTTGAACTGCCGGCTAACATGATGTGAGGTCACAGTCAGGCTAGGCTCCATCAGGGAGAATCTGTACGAACAATAGGCAGGCCAGGCACTCCTGCTCTCCACAGCGTGCATACATCCCTCTGAAAAGGAATGGTTACAGAATCAGAGAGAAAACATCGCTCGGGACAGAACCCAGGTGAAAATTGAGCAGGGCATTGCCATTCCTTGAGATCCCCAGGGACTCAGTTGGCAAAGGGCCTCCAGGTGACCCACAGCCTTCTGATATCTCAGTCTTCCTTCACCCTTCCTGCCTCCCTCAAAAGCCGTAGCATGGTTGTGGAGCTTATGGAGCCCTCGCTCATACCATTGTGCATGAATTACTACAGTCTCTAGCCAGCCAGCCAAGAGAACAGCCGCCAGACATGCCTCCTGCCGACCTTTTTGGTTTCACTGATGCTGCCATCGGCTCAAAAGCACCCCACCTGAGGCCATCCACCCGAAATGGAATGGTTCATGAGTTCATCAGCCTGCTGTCCCTTCAGATTACAACTGGTGGGGAAATGAGCAGGGCCTAGCCATGCAGTCCTCCCACCTTGCCACATATAGCAAATAGCACACCGAGGTCCATGAGAGAGTCTTGGAGTGAACCTGAATTCCCCCTATTTTGACTCGCATAGAACACTGAGAACCTGTGAAGAGCACTGTGAGCCCTCACTCCTTCTGTGCAGCATTCGCATGACCTTCAGTCCATCTTTAGGCCCAGGCTGAACCTGCTCTGCCTAGTTTGACTTAAGTGGACTGCTCAAGCTGTGGTTAGCAATGCCGTCCAAATGTCATCCCTCTGCCAGCTATGCAGTAAGCAGTCTTTTGATGACTTGTAAGCGAAGTGTGCTGTTGCCCTGGTCCTAGGCACTATCTTGTGGATATTTTAAGTGTTGTTGTCATGGAAAAACACAGTCCTCAAGGACAAGTCACACAGAGGTCTGTTGAGAAGTGGTCACCACAAAATAAAACTGTACCCTCCATGTAGGGCTACCATGAGCACCACTGGGATACACAGTCAACGCACCCTGGTCCCTACCTGCCCCTGGTTAACACAGCGCAAGGGGATAGGAAGTATATGAGAAGGTCTTTTGCCTAGACATCAAATGGCAGAAGTTTGGTGTGGACAATCAAGCCACAGTGAGCCTGCATTCCATCATAGGTCCCTTGCACAGAGTGAATAGAACCACTTAACAGCTGCGAGAGAATTGACTCATTCTTTTCAGAATGTCATTAACTTTGGGGACTACTTAGCTGGCCAGTGAGAAAGCCCTCATGGCCGTCTTCTCCATGGATATGTTTTTGGTCTGTTGCCCAAAGCAGTGAGACTGTCTTCAAGCCAGCAGAAAAGCATCCTGCTTGAGAAGGCCAGTTAGACCGAGGCCAAGTTCACACAGGCATGACTGTCATACATTAAACTTTCAGACTGGTTCCACAATCTGGGAATTCCCACTCACAGAAACCATACTGCGGAGGTCTGGAGACTCATGGCTAATATGCACTGAGCTGGAATTTGCACAGACATGAGCCAGGGCCACGACGGTAATTCGTGAGCCTTGCATTGAAACTCTGCTCCTCCTGAAATCAAAGAGTTGAATCATTGCGTTCTACCTAGCATGGCCGACAAGTCACACTCCTAACGAATTGTGGGCACTAGCAACTGAGGAACTCCTAGTCACAGTGTGTGACTCGCAGGCCCCTGGATTTCGAGCACAGGACAGTTGAGGTATATTTTGCCACTATGAAAGCTGCTCTCACACGGCTGGCATCCAGTGTAACATTTAGACCCTTTGACACATTGTGAGATCCACCTCACATAGTAAACAAGTCACACTCCTAACGATTTGTGGG